GGAACAACAAGATCGCGAACTACCACAACAGTGACTTCGTACCGCGATCCCTGCTTCTGCTCGACTGCATCGACCATCAAACGCAGATCGTCCTGTCGATGCTCGCTCGGTTCCGAAAGATCGGTCACATCGATCGCCGCCATGTCACCCACGGCAATCAAATCCCATTCGAGCTTTAGCACATCAAGTTTGTCGGCCGTGGTCGACGGGGGATGCAGACGCAGGTCCATCGAAAGCCGGCGATTGCTCGAGCCGGCTACGTTCCAGGCACTGCCAGAAGGTTGCGTGGCAGAGAGTTCGTCGCCGCCGTCCGTTATTACCTCAACGACGCGTGGCGGGGAGCGGTAGGCCACCAGCCGGAAGCGGTCTTCCCACATCATTTGCAGGTTGAGTTGGAACGTATGCGTCGTCTCCGACTTCAGATGCTCGTAGTCGAAGTCTTCGGTGAACACACGACGGGCGTTGGTGATCTGCGCGCGAACGGGGCCGGCGTAGGCCACGGGATAATCGCCCGGGGCTCCCGAAACCACCACCAGCCCGGGACGGCTAGTGTCGTAATGGGGCCGCACATGGTTCCCACTTTGTGCACAAACCTCGTCGAGTACTGCCCAAAAAGATTGTTTCTCGGTATCCAGCTTCACGGCAGCGTCTTGAAACGTGCCATATTGATCGCCGAGCAGTAAGCGGTTCCCGGTTTGGCCGGCCAGCGATTCGAATACGACCGAGGCCGGCTGTTCGACTTCCGACTTGTAGGCCACCTCCGAAGCCGACCACAGCCGGCCGATTTTCAGCTTGCGTAGTAATTCTTGGGCCTGCAGGCGAACCTCAAGGTCGTCGCTACGGGTGGCTCGCTCGATTTCGGCACGGGTGATTTCACCCAGGCTTTCGAGTTCGTCTCGGGCAGCAACCCTTTGGTCGAAGTCGCTGGAAGCCAACCGCTCGACCAGTCGAGCGACACGGATCTCGGGCGCAGCATTACCGCCCGGTTCTTGAGCGGCGGTAATCACCGCCTGACTTATCGTCACGGCCAAAGTTAGAAAGAAGCCCCCCAGCGATCGGCAGTGACGGTGTTGGAGGAATTTTGAGGTCATCGATCGCGCAGCGTACTGTTCGGCTCGCATTATGCGGCTTCTCCCAGTTGACGATGAAGACGCCAAGAGCAGTGCGTCGAGCGGTCCGTGCTCTGCCATACTCTGGGTTGCGAGGGTGCCCTGGACTGGAAATCAATGATGTCGGGTGCTAGAAACCACTTCGCTCGTCGTCACCATCCATTAGACGCGGCTGGATGGGCGGCGAACGGTAGGCAATTCAACCCCAACCGTCAATGCCGATACCGGGACTCTGACAGCACCGCGTCGTGCAAGCGAGGAACCGCAATCTATGGCCATCGACTGCTTGAGCGCTGGCATTCTCGTGGCCGATCACCTCTGTTCGCCCATCGACAAAATGCCCGAGGCGGGAGAATTGGTCCTCGCCGACGAACTCCCGCTTGCCATCGGCGGCTGTGCTGCGAATGCCGCCATCGACCTGGCCCGACTTGGCGTTTCGGTCGGCGCAGTGGGCTGCGTGGGCACCGACGCCTTCGGCGAATTCATCATTGCCACCCTAGAAGAGCAGGGGGTCGACGCAACGGCGGTCAAGCGACAGCCCGGGGTCGGTACCTCCGGCACGTTGATCATCAACGTTAAAGGCCAGGACCGCCGGTTCGTGCATTCGATCGGAGCCAACGCCACGATTCGAACCAGCGATATATCCCTGGACCTGGTCCGGCAGGCGAAGGTGCTGTACCTGGGCGGCTACTTGTTGATGTCCTCGCTTACACATGAGGACGTGGCTGAATTGTTTCGCGCAGCCCGAGGTTTTGGCGTGACCACCGTGCTTGACGTGGTGCTCCCCGGACCGGGCGATCATTTCTCGGGCATGGAGAAGCTGCTGGCCGAAACGGATGTCTTTCTGCCAAACGAGGATGAGGCCGCCGCACTCACGGGGCTGACCGACCCTGTGGAGCAGGCCAAGTGCTTTCGTGAAGCTGGTGCAGCCACCGTGGTCATCACCTGTGGAGATACGGGCAGCGTGTTGATGTCTGAGAACTTGCGACTTCGCTCGGGGGTTTACCCGATCGATTACGTGGGTGGAACCGGATCGGGCGATGCCTTCGACGCGGGCTACATCGCGGGGCTGCTCAACGGCGACGATCCTCGACGCTGCCTGCAATGGGCCTCGGCCCTGGGTGCCAGTTGCGTACGAGGCGTGGGGGCCACCGAGTCGGTCTTCCGCCGCGACGAGGCCCTGCAATTCATGCAGCAGCATGAGTTGGCGATTGAGGAATTTTGAGCAACGGTTTCCTAAACCGTGTGTCTTCCGAAGCACCGCCTTCGGTGAACCTTATCGCCGAAATCTTGTCTTCGCTGGGAAGGTGGCACTCCGACGATAAGACACGTCCCCCCCATTAGTCAGCGACCGACAAGCCCGCTATAACAGAGCGAGAAACGCTCCGTTCCCCTATCCCCCCGCAATCCATGTCTGCATCGAACACCAAGAAAACACGCGTGGCAATCGTCGGCGCGACCGGCTACACAGCTCTCGACTTGCTGAAGATCCTGGCGCGACATCCTTACGTCGAAGTAACCACAGTCACCAGTCGGCAGGAGGACGAACCGCTGCTGGCCGAAGTTCACCCGTCGCTCACAGGGCTGTTTGATCTGCGTTGCGAAAACATCGCCCCGGGGGCTGCCGCTGAAAAGGTCGACTGCGTATTTAGCTGCCTGCCACACGGCGTCACCAATCGCAGCGTGCCGGAAATGCTCGACGCGGGGGCGAAGGTGGTCGACTTCAGCGCCGACTATCGCCTGAACGACGTGGCAACCTTCACCAAATGGTACGGGGAGGAGCACGCCGATCCGACACGCCTGGGCACTACACCTTACGGGTTGCCCGAATTGTTTCGAGAGCAGATCAAGACCGCCACGCTAGTCGCGAACCCCGGGTGTTATCCCACCTCGGCGGTGTTGGCGTTGGCCCCGCTACTGAAGGCCGCCCTGATCGAGTCGGACGACCTGGTGATTGACTCGAAGAGCGGCGTTACGGGCGCCGGCCGAACTCCCAAGCTCACCACGCACTTCCCCGAGTGCAATGAAAACGTAGCGGCCTACAACGTGGGGAAGCATCGCCATACGCCGGAGATTCAGCAGGTGCTGTCGGGAGTGTGCGGCAGCGATGTGAATCTTGTTTTCGCACCGCACCTGATCCCGATGGACCGCGGCATCCTCACTACTGCTTACGCCCGTCGCCGTAGCGGGGTGACCGAAGCCGCGCTGGAAGAAGCGCTGCAGAGCTTCTACAAGGACGAGCGTTTCATTCGGGTGATCGACCGCCTGCCGGCCACTAAGAACACGACCGGGACGAACTTCTGCGACGTTCATGCTTGCCTGGTTGGCGAGCGGGTGGTGGTGGTGAGTTGCCTCGACAACATGATGAAAGGGGCCTCGGGAGCGGCGGTGCAGAATTTCAACCTGATGTTCGGTTATCCCGAAGAAACAGCCCTGCTGTAGAGTCCTTACTCACGTCGGTCCAATCATCGTTGCCATGTTGCAACGCTTCATTCTTTCACGCTTCTCCCAGAGACCTTACTGCTATGTCGTTCAAGGTGCCCTTAGGTTTTTCGGTTGCCGGCGTTTACTGCGGCATTAAGGAAGACACCTCGAAGCTCGATCTCTCGCTCATCACCAGCGACCGGCCCACGGTCGCCGCGGGCGTGTACACCCAGAACCGCATCGTATCTCCCACGGTGGTCTTCGATCGGGAGAAGACGCCGTTTGATGGTTTTCGCGCGCTCGTAATTAACTCTGGGAATGCTAACGCTTGCACTGGAGAGCGTGGCCGGCAGGATGTTGAACAGATGGCCCGACTGGCCGCCGACGCGGTGGGGGCTCCGGCTGAAGGGGCCCTGGTGCTTTCGACCGGGGTGATCGGTGTATTCATGCCCATGGACAAGGTCGCCCTGGGCATTCAAGCCGCCGCAGAGAAATTGAACTCCGACGAGTCTGCTCTGGTCGCCGCGGCAAGCGGAATCCTTACGACCGACAGCCGCCATAAGCTCACGAGTCGCGAACTGACGCTCGGTTCCAAGAAGGTCCAGATCACCGGGCTCGCCAAGGGGGCGGCGATGATCGGCCCCAACATGGCCACCATGCTGGCCGTCGTGATGACCGACGCCAAGCTGGATAAGAATGACGCGCAGCAGATGCTGGCTGCCTCGGTGACAGACACATTCAACTGCATCAGCGTCGAAGGGCACATGAGCACGAACGATAGCGTGCTCCTACTGGCCAATGGGGCTGCTGAGGGCGAAACCCTAAGCGGCGACGACCTGGCCAAGTTCCAAGAGGCCCTGCACGAAGTTTGCACCGAGTTGGCCATGGCCATTCCGGACGATGGGGAAGGGGTCACTCACCGCATCACCATTGACGTCCGGGGTTGTAAGACACGGGAAGACGCTCACGCCATCGCTCGTACGGTGGCCGACAGTGCGCTGGTAAAAACGGCCATCGCCGGGGCCGACCCCAACTGGGGCCGTATCGTTTCTGCTGCCGGTTATGCTGGCATCGAGTTCGACCCAGGCGGCGTCTCGCTGAAGGTGAACGGCTTCCAACTCTTCGAGTTGGGCTCGCCGGTTGCCTTCGACGACCCGCTGGTAAGTAAGTCGATTGCCGGCAACCGTGATACGCACATCGAACTCGACTTTCGCGAAGGCTCGGCCGGGGTCCGCTTCTGGACCACCGATCTCACGCAGGAATATATCCGGCTCAACGCCGACTATCGCACCTGAGCCCCACTGCCAGCACTGCCTGCAGGCAATCTGAAGATCTTAACCGCTCTTTTGTCAGCGGCACCGTCTCGGTACACTTCCGCCGCCTTGCGATAGCTTGCGCTACACGAACCGCAGCGTAATTGCCTGCTTTCGTGTCTCGATACATACGACGGCTTATGCCGGCCGCTTCATGGCACAGGGAGGATCCATGTCTAGCAGCGAAGAATCGCGTCAGCGACTGGCGGTTGCACTCATCGTTCGTGATGAAGAAAAAACGTTGCCCGCCACGTTGGCCAGTGTGCAGAACATCGCCGACCAAATTGTGGTTGTCGATACCGGTTCGACCGACCGCACGGCTAAGATCGCACGCGAGTTCGGGGCAACGGTGATCGCCTTCCCCTGGGAAGACAGCTTCTCGGCTGCCCGAAATCGGGCGATGGCCGACATTCGTGCCGAATGGATCCTGTGGATCGACGCCGGAGAGAAGCTTTCCGCCGCCGATTCTCAGTCGCTTCGGCAACTTGTCGACGAGCAGAGTGACGCAAACACTTGCTACGCCGTGTGGATCGAATTGCCTCAGGCCACTGCGAATAGTTACGCCGAGCGTGTGACCCAAATTCGGCTTATCCCGTCCTCGGCCGCGCTTCGCTTCACAGGTCGCGTACGCGAGACTTTGTTGCCGGCGATTGAAGGTGGAAAGTTCCAGATCGAGCGTTCGGAAATTCACCTTCTGCGGTCGTCTCGCGATCACGACTCGCAACGCAAGCACGACCTGGCCGTGCGCGATCTACCGCTGATCGAACAAGAGATCGTCGAAAATGGTCGGCTACCCAAGTGGCTGGTTGCCGCGGGCGATGTGCACGTGAACCTGAGTGACCCGAGCACGGCCCATACGTGTTATCGCGAAGCGCTGAAGACGGCCGAGAAGGGTTCGACCGATCAGCTCGCAGCCTACTACGGGCTGTTAACCTGCTGCGGCACGGCGGCCGATACGGATGATAGCCCGATGGAGATCTGCATCGAGGCCCTCGAGGTATTCCCCTTCGATGCACAATTGCTGTGCGCGATGGGCAACTACATGCAAGCCGTGGGGCAAACCGAGATGGCCACTCGCGCCTTCGAACTGGCCATGAACTATGGCGAGGTAAATCCCACGCTGTGGCACGTGGCCGATGTTACCGAGATGGCGGCCCTGTGCCTGAGCGCACTGCTGAGAAACCAAAAGGAATACGAACGAGCCCAAGCGGCGTTGACCGAATCGCTGGCCGCACGGCCCGACTCGGTGCGGCTGCAGCGGGCAATGCTGGATCTGTACATCCGCCAATCGCGTCAACACGAGGCCCTGGCCGTAGTCGATGCCATGCCGGGCACCGTGCCGCATCGACATGCCTTGCGAAGTGCCGTGCGTGGAGCGTGTCAAGTTCAGGAGAAGAACTGGATCCCGGCGGTGGCGTACTTGCAGTCGGCCTACTCGGCCGGATGTCGCGATGTGGTTTGCCTGCAATGGCTCTCGGTCGCGCTCATCTCGACCGGATGCCTGGAAGCGGCAGAACCGGTTGTCAAGGCATGGCTGGCCATCGAACCGCACAACGCCGAAGTGCGACGGTACGCCGAGTTGCTCAGCAATCGGGGAGCCGAAGACAGCGTGGCTGCGGCCACCGGTCTTGGGGCTTCCGATGCAGTAGCCACATTCTCGGTGACGACCTCGACCGATGAGGCGGCTTCCACCAACTACATCGTCACCACCGCAGAAGCTGCCGCCAGCGAGGCGAAGTCCTCGGAGAAGGCCACGCCTTCGAAGCATCTGCAATCGCTCCGCATCGATGCGGCATCGCAACCGAACGACAGCAACATTCACTTGCAGCTTGGAACCGCCCTGGTCGAACACGGTCAGGATGAGGAAGCGGAAAAAATCTGGCGTTCGTACCTGAGCCACTCGCCAAAAGATCCGAAGATCACCACCGCTTTAAGCGAGTTGCTGGTGACCACCCGACGAGTTCAAGAGGGGCTCGACCTGGCAGCCCCGCTGGTGCAAAGCGGAGAGGTGTCGACCGGCTACCGCGAATTCACCGCCGGCATCGCGCAATTCAACCGAGAACAGTGGGACCAGGCCCTCGAGCATTTCGAGGCCAGTCACGAGGCGGGTTACAACCAACCTCGCTTGCTGGAATACCACGCTAGGTGTTTAGACCAACTGGAACGCTACTCCGAGGCCGAACCGCTGTGGCGAGAACTTTTACTGCGCGAGCCGACCAACGCCACGGCCCACGATGAGCTGGCCAAACTGCTCAAGTCGACGGGTCGCGGCGACGAGGCCGCACTGGTCCGAGCCCAACTCAAGCGATTGCAGAGTATCCCCGCTCAACTCGAATACCCAGGCGGCGGGATGCCGGGCTCATCGGTAACAACCACCTGAGAGATGGTCGTCCTAGGCCCAAACGCGATTTCATCGACCACACGTAAAGATCGAAGCTGACCACTCACTCCCCGACCCAGGAGCCACCCCACCATGAGTACTTCGAAGGACACTGTCGCCAGCTTCTGGGATGAGAATGTTTGGCAATCGATCCCGCAGCGATATTGGTCGTCGAACCCGATTCTGGACGAGTACATCAATCAGCAGATTATTGAACCCCGCAGTGTGAACTCGCATATCTCGTGGTGGATTTCGAAGTACCACCCCACGGGCGTGAGCGAAAACCTGCTCAGCCTGGCCTGTGGCGGTGGCCACGCCGAGCGGATTGCACTGAAAGAGGGCTCGGCCCAACGCACCGTTGGCTACGATGTCTCGCCCAAGTCGCTGGAAATCGCCCGGGCCGAAGCCGCGGCCGACGGACTTGCAGACTGTGTGGAATACGAGATCCGCGATCTGAACAGCGATTCCCTGCCGCGAAGTGAATTCGATGCGGCCATCTCCTTCGGATGCTTGCACCATATTGAAAATCTCGAGTGGCTATATGCCGAGGTGGCGGCCTCTCTTCGTTCCGGTGGCGTTTTCTATCTGAATGAATACGCCGGCCCCAACCGCTTCCAGTATTCAGACGCCCTGATTCGCGAAGTCAATAAGGTTATCCGTACGCTTCCCGACGCTGCGGTACAAACCCAGGAGCTGCGGCGGATTTCGCCCGAGGCAATCATCGAGACCGATCCCAGCGAGGCGATTCGGGCCATCGATGTCGATGCCAAGCTGCACGATTCGTTCGATGTGATCGACGGCCGTGGGTACGGCGGAGGCTTGCTGTACACGCTGTGGGCCCAGGTGATCGACCCGGCGTACTTCATGCAGCTTCACGACCCGAAGGTTCTGGAGTTGCTGGGATGGCTGTGTCAGCTCGATTTCGAACTGACCGCCAGCGGGACGATCGAGAACCTGTTCATCTCGCACGTGCTGTGTCCGAAAGGGCAGCAGGGTGATCGCTACTCGACGTACGATCCGCAGGCCGCCATGAAGGCCCACTCCGACTTCGTCGAGGCACAGATCGCCGCTCTTGGCGATCCGCATGCCGTGTAACTCAGGCGAGGAATCTGGCCCGTCCTAGGCCAATTAGCACCCCTCGCTTCGAGATCGGCTTCTGCCCCTCAATGTTGCCCAATCCTGGCGTCTGAGCCGGCCTCTCATCGCTGCGCCGCTTGACAATTCCTGTGGTGCCAGCTACCACAGGTCGCTTGCATTCGCATCGCGCCCGGGTGTTTCGGGACGATGGATTTCTGCGTGCAGTCTGAGGTCGAGCGAGGTAGTTTCATGTCCGTTAGCGTCCCGTTTTCTACCGATTTTCTCAGCGGCATTTTGGGTGTGCCCGTGACCACCAGCGGGGAAGTTGGTGCCTGCGAGCCAACGCCGCCGTCGGTAACCATTGTCGCCGAGGACGAAGACGACGATGAGGAGGAGGAAGCGGACGACGACGGCGATATCGATGTCGATATCGACGAAGATGGAGACGACTCGAGCGACGGCGAAGACGAGTACGACGACGAAGACGATGAGGACTTCGACGAGGATTTCGACGAAGACTTCGAGGAGTTGGAATACGATCTCGAAGAGATGGAAGACGACGACGTCGAAAAACTCAACGGCCAAAGCTGCGGCATCGAACTCGAAGAGTAGTTCGACGCAGGTCCAGGTTTCCGGTTCCGGTGGTATTCACTTGAGTTCTTCGCCTCAGGCGGGCTTCGAGGGACTCACAATCGCTCAATACACTTGAGGAGTCTCCGATGCTCGAGCTGGCTGGTCAGATCGAAGAAGCAACCGCAGCGATTCGCAAGCAGTGGACCAAGCAGGCCAAGGCCGGAGTGATTCTCGGCACGGGGCTTGGAGGGCTGGCCGAGCAGATCGACGTCGAGGCGACCATGCCGTATGAGTCGATTCCACATTTCCCGGGCTCCACTTCGGTGGGCCACGCGGGACGCCTCGTGTTGGGCACGCTGCAAGGGCTGCCCATTGCCGCCATGGAGGGTCGGTTCCACGCGTACGAGGGATACACGCACCAGCAAATCACTTTCCCAGTACGAGTGATGAAAGCGCTGGGGGCCGATGTGTTGATCGTTTCGAACGCTGGCGGGGGAATGAACCCTCAGTATCGTTGCGGCGACATCATGGTTATCGACGACCACATCAACCTGATGGGCGACAACCCTCTGATTGGCATCAACGACGATGCCTTGGGCCCACGTTTCCCCGACATGTGTTACCCGTACGATCGGGAACTATCGCAGAAGGCCCTCGACGTTGCCTTGTCTGAACAGATCGTGGCCCACCGCGGGGTGTACGTGGCCGTGACAGGACCGAACTTGGAGACGCGGGCCGAGTACCGCTTTCTACGGCTGATCGGTGCCGATGTGGTGGGCATGTCGACCGTGCCCGAGGTTGTGGTGGCCGTTCACGCCGGTCTACGGGTGCTGGGGCTGTCGATTGTCACCGACATGTGCCTGCCCGACTCGCTGGAACCGGCCAACATCGACAGCATCCTGAAAATCGCCGGCGAAGCTGAGCCCAAGCTGCGGAAGATCGTCAACGGCGTTCTGGCCACGCTCTAACGAATTCTCACAGACTTCTCTACGCGATTGGCTGCCTAAGCAACTTGTCAGGTAGTGGCTTCTCCGACCTACTCGAATTCTTCACTGTAGGCGTCTTCATTGCGGGGCAGGAACTTGCAGAGCAGGATTCCGCCACCATAGAGAAGGGTGAGCGGGCCGGCCAGCAACAACATGCTGTACGGATCGGCCGGGGTAGCCAGCATCGAGATGATGCAGATCACGAGGACAGCCACTCGCCATTGCGAGAGATAGACCGTGAGGTCGAACACCCCGATGCGTTCGAGGAACAGCATCACCAGGGGAAGTTGGAAGCTGATGCCGAACCCTAGCGGCAGGAACAGCACCAGGCTCAGCCATTCGCTGATCCGCATCTCGGGCCGGAACCCTAGCCAGCGGCCGATGCCAAACAGGAATTCCAGCACAGGGTCGAATACGAAGATGTAGGCGGTGCCCGCCCCCAGCAGGAACAAGCCCAGGCTGAACGGCAGAAAGACGTTCACGAAGTGCTTCTCGTGGGGATACAACCCTGCTGCCACAAAAGACCAGATCTGATAGAAGACCCATGGGCTGGCGAACACGAACCCCGCTACGAAGGCAGCCTTAATCAAGATGATGAACGGTTCTTGCCCGGAGAGAAACGTGAACTGGGTCCTAGGGTCGCTGGTCAGCGGCGTCATCATCCGCAGTGAGATCAGGTCGCCCGCTTCTTCATCGGCCTCTTTCTGAACTTTCTCCGCACTCTTCTCAGCAACCTCACTAGTAGCACCGTCCACGGACGGCTTGTCTCCAGATTTACCTATCGAAGGCCAATCGTAATCGGGGAACTGCAGCTTCAATGCGGCGATCAGTTCCGATGAATCGAAGTACACCTGCTCAAACGTGAGGTTTTTCTCCATCATCATCACGAACATCGGATCTTTTTCGAGATCTGGAGGAACCTCAGCCCCAGACGCTTTGAGTTGCTCGACGAACAACTCTTGATCCCGCAGCTTGATGTCCTTCATCAGGGCCCGTTCCATGGGCGCCTTGATCATCTCGACCACCTGCTTGCTGATTGCCAACCCGATGAGGACGCCTATCGCCAACCCTATGGTAGCGCGAAACAGGCACGCCCGTAACTCTTCGAGGTGTTCCCCGAAGGTCATCGTGCTGTCTTTGAACAGATCGTCGTCGTACTCGCGCTTCATGTGCGGGCGTGGTGCGCGTGAGAAAGTGAACCGAGAAAATACGGTAAGGCGGGGCTAGCGTTGAGCTTCGCGGCCGTGATTCGATCATAGCAACGCACCCTCAGACCAACAACCAAGCCTACCTCAGGGGTGAGCATTCCGGGGCAGGTTTGGCTGCATTCCTGCGTCGATGGTTGCAAGCCCTGGGGCAATCGGCATCATTGGGTGAAGAGCAGGGGGGTTGACTTGGCCTCCTGGTCCGTCATCGCCACCTTTCGAAACTCAGGAAATATCGACTCATGGATGCCCTGTACCCATTTCGCTTCGAGCCAATTCTGCGTCAGTACATTTGGGGTGGTCGCCGCTTGGGCGAAGAATTGGGCAAACCGTTGGGCGAGGGTGACGACTATGCCGAAAGCTGGGAAGTTTGCGATCATGGCGAAGATCAAAGCCGCGTGGCCGCCGGGCCGCTGGCTGGCACCACCCTGGGCGAGCTTGTGACTAAGCGGGGTGAAGAGCTACTGGGCAAGCACCACCCGCAGCCACGATTTCCGCTGCTGATCAAATTCCTCGATGCCCAACGGACGCTCTCCGTACAGGTGCACCCCAACGACGAACAGGGGGCCAAGCTCGATCCGCCTGACTACGGCAAGACCGAAGCCTGGGTGGTGATGGGAGCCCGCGAGGGGGCCAAGATCTACTCTGGCCTCAAGCGGGGGTTCGACCGCGATGCATTGGCCCGAGAGATCAACCGTGGCACCTGCGAACTGTGCCTGCATCAATTTGAACCGCAGCCGGGCGATTGTGTATTCATCCCCGCTGGCACCGTGCATGCCTTGGGCGAAGGTTTGTTGATTTACGAAATCCAACAATCCAGCGACACGACGTTCCGGTTGTTCGATTGGAACCGCGTTGGGGCCGACGGAAAACCGCGTCCCCTGCACATCGAGCAAGCCCTGGAAGTGATCGACTTCGAGCGTGGCCCTGTCGAACCGGTTAAACCCAAGACCGGCGAGCAAGAAGGCGTCGAGGTGCTCGTGGAGTCAGACAAGTTCATCCTGGAACGGTGGACCTTGACCGCAGAGCGGGAGTTACCCAGTAACGATCGCTGCCATCTCGTGTCTGTTGTCGAAGGTGCGTTGGACGTGGAGGGCGACCCAAGCGATGGCCCATTACCGCGCGGTGCCACGCTTCTACTCCCCGCCTCGTTGCCCAGTGTGCGACTCTCGCCGCAGGGGAAGACGGTGGCGCTCGTGGCTCATCTTCCGTAAAGCTGTAACAAGGCTTACATTGCCACGGCGTGTCTGCAGATTCATCGATCTGACTTTTCCATTCCACCAAACCAATATGAGGGCAGCCATGAGTCGCTATTCGCTGGAGGAGTTTGTTCAGAAAACGGCGCAGCAAAACCTGGATCAGGGGTTGTTCGAGCTGGAAAGCGAACGCCTGCTGGAGATTAACCTCAACGGAAATATCTGGACGAAGACCGGCTCGATGGTCGCGTACCGTGGCAACCTGCGTTTCACGCGTGAAGGAGTGCTGGAACATGGCGTGGGAAAGTTTCTCAAGCGGATGGTCAGCGGTGAGGGGGCCCGACTCACCAAGGTCGAAGGCTCTGGTAAGCTCTACCTGGCCGACGCCGGCAAGAAGGTGACCATCTTGTACCTCAACGGAGAAGCCATCTACGTCAATGGAAACGACCTGCTGGCATTCGAGCCGAGCATTCAATGGGACATCAAGATGATGCGAAAAATGAGTGCTATGATCGCCGGCGGATTATTCAACGTGCGACTGGAAGGTACCGGCATGATTGCCATCACCACGCACTACGATCCGCTGACGCTAAGGGTGAGTCGCGGTGATGAAGTCTCAACCGATCCGAACGCTACCGTCGCCTGGTCGGGCAACCTGATGCCGGAATTCCAAACCGACATCAGCCTCAAAACCTTCGTCGGCCGCGGAAGTGGTGAGTCGATCCAAATGCGATTCAACGGCGATGGCTTCGTGGTCGTCCAGCCGTTCGAAGAGGGCACCTTCCAGGCCCAAGCGGCTAGTGGATGAGCGTGACAAACGGCGAACTGAGCTCCGTCTGCCCAAGCGCCGGCACACTCCGTTGCTAATTCGTGGAAACCCGCTCATCGGAAATAGAGACACGTATCTCGCTGCAAGCAATATCTAATGTCGATCCGCTTTGAAATAATACGCTAACCGCTTTTTTCGGAGATGCGATTCCTTTCGTCACCAGTTCATTGATTCTGCAGGACAAGCTGGCTGCCGGTACAAACTCGAATTCATTGATCTCCTCGGCGTTAGCCATGTGGCCGAACAGTTCGCCGAGTATGATCAGCGGATCAACGAAGATGATTTGACAATTCTTGCCTTCCCAAAGCTCAAAGCCACATTCGGGGTTACAACGGACGTGAATCGTCAGTGTTCGGCTCCCTGTACTATCAACGTGCAAGCTGATGTCGTTAACGATGGCATCGTGGAAGTAGTTCAATTGGCGTTTGAGGTCATCATTCACCGGATTTCCTCCAAGTCTGTCCACGTAAGGCACATCTCAGCAGCACGCTAGCACCACAGCATTCGACCTAGCCCACCTCCGGGGCACTGCCTATAATTCGCGGCCCTAATTATGTTGGGCGGCTGACCGCATGGCGGTCGGAACAATTGGCCGTGGGGGTGGAGCAGGTTATGTCGAACGTTATACAGCGTACTTTGATGGCTGGGTTGCTGATGGTTTTACTGGCGACCGTCACGGGGTGCGCGGGAACGGCTTATCCACAGTTGCTCAATCCGCCGCCGGTGAATGTCCAACAACAAAGGGCCGAACGCTTTGATCCGTTCCCCGAAGTTGGCTCGGGGCCCGATCTCACCGGGGCACGTCCTCGCGAATATGACATCCCTTCGCCCGAGCCAGCCCGCACGCAAACCAACTCGAACCGCGTCATGCAAATGCGGTAGCTTCCAGCACCAGGGCATTCTGCAAACCACTGTTCACTGCCCGCTAGATGCCGAACTGGCGTAGCACGGTGCCGTAGACTTCAGTGTCTGCAATCGTTTGGGTTTCAAACACGCCCGGCTGCGAGGCGAGGATCACACCCCGCTGGGCCTCCGACAGTGGCGGAGCACCGTGGGAGCCTTTCGCCAGCGTTGCATCCAGCGGCACCCGAGGGTCGGCGATGTCGAGGTGCATCTCAATCGGGTCGTAGCCCGGCTTGCGGTGGATGTCGACGTTGTAGGCAAAGTCCGGAGCCTGGGTATCGTCGAGCCAGTAGTAATAAGCCTGCCAGCTATTGGGTTCGGAGACCAGAACCACATCCCCGCTGCGAGGATGATCGAGGTCGTATCGTTTGCGGTCTCCGCCAACCAACACCTCGGCGATGCCCTTGTGGTTCTTGAACAACGCGGCGACACGATCGATGACCTGCGGGTCGGCATTCCGCACGAATACATGTGAGTGCTGATGATCGGCCATCGCCCAGGCGGGGCTTTCACCCACGTCCAAAACTTCGCCCGAGGACGTATCGTCGAGCACCTTCAGCAGGCCAGCTTTCCGCAATACACGGTTAGGGTAAACCACGTGATCGACCGGCATGATCGTGTATTCGCTGGCCACGATCCACAACGGATCGGTCTCGTAAGCCGCGCGAAAATCTTCGAAGAGTCGACCCAGCACTTCATCGAGCTGTTGGATGGCCAGGGCCGCCAATGGGTCGTCGGGCCCCACGCGTTGGGCGGCGTAGTCGAGGTGGGGCAGGTAGATGTAAAAGAAGTCGGGCCGGTACTGCCGAGCCGCTTGGACAGCGCTGTCGGCGATCCACTCGCTGGAAGAGATGTTCGCCAGCGGGCCCCAAAAATGGTGTAAGGGGAATTGGTCGAGCTTCTCGATGAGCTGCGGGTATAAATCCTCGGGCCGGGTATGGCACCACATGGTCTCGGTGCCGTCGGGGTTGTGAATGGGGGCCGGCGTGCAAATGTGGTCGGCACCGCACCCCTTGCTGTGCAGCGGAAACCACACGGCCGACGTAGTGCCGGGCCGCTGCTCGTGCAGCGTGTCCCAGATTTGCGGTGCCAAGATGCATTCGTTCCAGGCGGTCCACATCTCGAACTCGCCACGGTCGCGATAGAAAAACCCGTTGGCAATCACGCCGTGTTGGTCGGGTGTGACTCCCGTAGTCATGTTGGCCTGCACCGGGCAGGTGACCGCCGGAAACCCCGGCGAAATGGCCGCGCGATCGCCGTTGCCCGCCAGACGCGACAGGTTCGGCATCGAGTCGACATCTTGCTGACGAAGAGCCGGCACAGACAATAATACAACGGGTTGAGTCATTGCGAATTCCGCAGGGTGGGAGATCGGAAATAAGCGTGAGCCGTTCGGCGAGGCATGAATTGCCTACCACTGTAACCTTGCAGGGAGTAGCGCGAAAGCGGAGGCACTCGACATCAAGTGGATCGAAACCACTTGCCCAACAACATGGTGGGAACCAGCAAGGCGAGAACGCAAACACCCCAGAAAGATCCACGCACGGCCAGCACAACGGCGGCATCGAGAACGATAAGCGAGAGGATACAAAGCTTCACCCCGGCCTGCACCTTGGCGGGTGTGGGGTCGAACACCGCAGGGGTGGCCCTGCGAGCGATGGAAAGAGCTAGAAGTCCTATCAGGATCAGCCAGGCGCTGTGGGGAAGGCGAAGTTCGGTCACTCCAGGTTTCGAGGGATCGAGCAGGAACGGGAACCCGGCGAGAATGGCGATGCCAGTGATGGCCACCGAAAGCCCGGCCGCCAAATGCAGTGAGTTGCTCTCGCGGGCTTCCGTTCGCGCGAACCACGTAACGCCCACGATGTAGACGCCAATCCCCAAAGCAATCCACCAGAAGGCCGGCTGCGCTAGCCCGCCTCCCACGCTGGCGCCCAGCAGGACATTCAGCGTTCGACAGGATCCCATGGCCACCGGGCCTGCGGGGGTTTTCTTCAACCAGGCGTCGTATCCGAGTACCGCAAGTGCGAGCAGCGTGGCTACCACACCCGTCGCGAGATATCCGCCGAGCGAGCCTGCCAGCCAGGCGAGCGCGACACCGACGATCAGCAGTTCGAACCCGAGCCAGCGAGCCGTGCTGAGGCGTATCCTTCCGGAGGGTATCGGACGTTCAGGGCGTTCGACCGCGTCCACTTTGTGGTCGAACACATCGTTGAGCACCATACCGGCCATGTAGATCAGGCAACTGGCGGCCAGCAGCGGCAGAAACACCGACCAGGGAGCCAGCGAAACGTGCAAGAGCAGGAAGCCCATCATCACGTCGCCCATGGCGGTGAACACGTTGGGGATGCGGAGCAGCCGAAGGTAGGCCATCGCCAGCGAACCGTGGGGGCGTTCCGCCTCGACATTCGATGCGGAATTCGCGGTGCTCATCGCGGGGATTGCCTCTTAGGAGATTTGAGTTCTGTGGAGACCGAGCCTAGACCGTCTTCGAAGGCGGGGACAACTGCTCGATGATCGCCTGCTCGATTCGCTCAGGGGCTGCCATTCTTCCCACTCCACGGCGGCGGCAACTCAGCCAACCTTCCTCGGGGTCGACGATGATGATGCCATCGGCTCGTAGCGTCTCCACATTACGGGCAACTGCGGGCTTCTCCCACATTTCGCAGTTCATCGCCGGGGCAACCACGATGGGACCCGTGAAAGCGAGCAGGAGCGTGTTCAGCAGGTCGTCGGCCAGTCCGTGGGCAGTCTTGGCAATGAAGTTGGCCGTGGCGGGGGCAACGCACAGCAGGTCGCCTTTTTCGGCCAGGGAGATGTGGGCCCCCAGAGGGTGATCGTCGTCGTGGAACACCCGCGTGGCTACCGGGCGACCGGTGAGGGCCTCGAAGGTGGCCTCGCCGACAAACTGGCGTGCGGCGTCGGTCATGACGACGGAGACCCCGGCACCGGACTGCACCAGGCTGCTCACCAGGCCGGCCGTTTTATAGGCGGCGATTCCGCCGGTGACGCCGACCACGATTTCGCGACCTTTGAGCATTCGGTTCGTCCACGCTACGGCCAAGCTCACCCAGTGCTTGCCGCTAGTGTCAGGATGAAAAGCAAGCGGCCCACGGAAACCTATCCGTGGGCCGTCGAGCAGGGTGAATTGTTACAGGTTGCTGAGATCCAACTCGGGCGGTCCGCCGGCTTCCTCGGTGGGTTCGCCGGTTACCAGCAGTTCCTTGGAGGAATCGAGGTAGATCTTGTCGTTCATGATCTCGGCGATCACGATCTTCAGCTTGTCGTTCGTGTCCAAATCGACCAGCGGACGCGCGCCGGCGGTGAGTTGCACGAGACGCTTTTGGATCAGCGTCGAGAGTTTGAAACGACCGCCAACCTTCTTGACGATCTCCTCACGGAGCAGTTCTTCAATCATGTTGTCTCGCCTTCAAGCTGGGACAGGATGTTACACATCGACTGGACGGCTTCGTCCAAATCGTCGTTGATGATCTGATACTGATATTTCTCGCCGGTCTCTAGTTCGCGGCGGGCCACGGCCAACCGACTAGCCAATGCTTCGCCGGTCTCGGTGCCTCGCTCGCGAAGACGCCGCTCCAGGTCGGCGTACGATTTGGGCCGCACGAAGATGGTGACGGCGTGTGGAAACTGCTGGAGAACCGCCTCGGTGCCATTGATGTCAATCTCTAAAACTACCCATTTCCCGGCTTCTAGACCAGAGGTAACGTCCTCCCGCAGAGTTCCGTACCAGCGGCCAGTCTTCCCATCGCCGGCGAATAACTCGAAACACTCGAGGAAATCCCCCCTCTCCCGGCGGCGGGAGAACTCTTCCTGCGAGAGAAAATGATACTCGCGACCGTCCACTTCCCCAGGCCGAGGAGAACGCGTGGTTGCCGACACCGAAAACGACAACGGTGCCGTACTCTCGGCGAACACTCGTTTCAGTACCGTGCTTTTACCCGAACCCGAGGGACCCGAAATGACGATCAGCTTACCGCTCACACCCGCTTACCTTGTGGTTGAGGACCAAAGGTCACTCGACATTTTGAATCATCTCTCGGATCCGCTCGATGGCGGCTTTGATTTCGATGACGTGCCTTGAAATCTCGACATCGTTCGATTTCGAGCCGATCGTGTTGGTTTCGCGGAACATTTCCTGCGTGAGGAATTCAAGCTTACGACCGGTGCTCTCCTTCAGGTCGAGCGTGGAGTCGAACTGCTCGAGATGGCTGCGCATCCGCACGATTTCCTCAGAGATATCGCTCCGTTCGGTGAACAGGCTCACCTCGCGAATCAAGTCGCCGGGCTCGAGGCTTACATTGTATTTCTCGAGCGTTTTCGTCACTCGCTCGTGCAAACGATCGCGATAGGCGTCAACCACGCTGGGGGCCCGACTGGCGATGGATTCCAGTTCCTCGGAAATGGTCTGCGTGTTCGAGCGGAGATCGGTTTTCATTGCCGTGCCCTCGCTCTGACGCATTTTGTCGAGGTTCACCAGCGATTGTTCCAGCACTCGACTGATCAGGGGCCACTCTTCCTGCAGATCGCCATTCTTGCCTGAGTTCTCGTTGACCACACCGGGCAGTTGCAAGAGCTGCTCGAGGCTGACCGACTCGACCACGTGCCAGCGACTATGGACGTCTTCGAGCTGCTTGCGGTAGCTGTCCAGCACTGCGACATCAATTCGATAGTCGTCAGGACTGCGGGGGCGGTCGACCCAGAGGCTTACCTGCACGGTTCCGCGACGGATATGCTTGCGAACGAGCCCCTCGATCTCAGACTCGAGTCCTCCGTGCCCGTCTCCCGATTTGACGGAAAGCTTGAAGTACCGACTGTTGATCGCCCGGACTTCGACGGTTACGGCCAAACCGTTTTCTTGGTGGTGCGCCTCACCAAATCCGGTCATGCTCAACAACAAGGTGGGAATCCCTCAACGGTTATCAATTGGCAGAAGTTGGTCCAGCTGGAGCTGAACAATCTGCAGATATTCTACGGACGATCGCCGTCTTGGCGACAAACGATGCTGAAACCCGGTAGACACGCGTGCTACGGGGGCTTATTCGTTCGTCGCATCGCCTGTGTTGCCGGCGGCCGGTTCTCCCGTGGCCGCTGGAACGAAAGTATCGCTGGGATCGATGGGAGCATTCGAATCGACCGCGGTCGACTCTGACACGGGGGCCTGGGAGCCCATATTACGGTCGAGCGCGCCCGATTCCTCGCTGAAATATTTGACCGTGACCACACACAGCAAGATCCACACGGTAGCCACAACGATGGTGACCCGGGTGAAGACATCGCCAGCTTTGGCGCCAAAGGCACTCTGTCCACCCATGCCGCCGAACGCACCGACGAGACCACCGCCGCGTCCACGTTGCAGCAGAATGATCAGGATTAGAAACAGGCCTGTCAGTAACAACAGGACCATTAAGGAGTTACCTACAAAGTCTCCCATCACCTCACTCCAATCGCTCAGGGCAGGGCGACGCTGAAATACGCCACCGCTTTATGTGTATTGGCTTGGTTAGATCTCGGTCTTCGCGTTTGCGATCCTCGACGGCAAGCGACTAACAGCGAAGATCGCTTGGCGAATCAGGACGCGGCAGTTTTGCCGATCCCCAGAAAATCCTCGGCTTTCAGGCTGGCTCCGCCAACCAGGGCACCATCGATATCGGCTTGGCCAAGGAGTTCGCCGGCATTGTCGGGCTTAACGCTGCCTCCATACAGAATTCGCACCGCGGCCGCGACGTCCGAATTGTAGCGATCGGCCACGAGTTTGCGAAGATCCGTATGGACTTCCTGAGCCTGTTCTGGAGTGGCCACGCGACCGGTGCCGATGGCCCAGACGGGTTCGTAGGCCAAAACGCATGCTTGCATCTGCTCGGCGGTGAGATCTTTCGTTGAGCCAGCGTACTGCTCGCCAACCACATCGGCCGTGCGGCCTTGGTCACGCTCTTCAAGCAACTCACCCACGCAGACGATCGGCGTGAGCCCTGCGGCCAGGGCGGCGACCACCTTCTTTTGAATATCCGCGTCGGTTTCGCCGAGGACGTGGCGTCGCTCGCTGTGCCCCAGAATCACGTGGTTGCAGCCCACATCGGTCAGCATCGCCATGCTGAGTTCCCCAGTGAAGGCCCCCTTCGGCTCGTGATAGGCGTTCTGTGCTCCGAGACTGACGGGCGATTCTTTCAGGACTTCTCTCACGGCGTCGAGATACACACTCGGGGGGCATACCAGCCAGTCGAGGTCGCCAATTGCCGCCGCTCCATCGGCCACGGCTTTCGCCAGGGCAATCGAGCCCTCGCGATCCATATTCATCTTCCAGTTGCCGGCGATTAGCGGGCGCTGCATGCGGTTTCTCCAGTCAAGGCGTGAATCTTCTTTCCTAACAGTTCCGCCAGGTCTCGAATCTGTGCGGCAACTTCGGCGTACTGCTCCGGCAGCAGGGCTTGGGGCCCGTCGCTGACCGCCTCTTCCGGACAGTTGTGCACCTCAATGTGAACCCCATCGGCTCCCGCGGCAATACCCGCTAACGCACACGGGGGAATTAGGGCCGGTTTTCCGGTGGCGTGACTCGGGTCGACGATGATCGGCAGATGCGACCGCATCTTTACTGAAGGCACCGCCGCCACATCGAACAGGTTGCGTGTCGAGGTGTCGAATCCTTTCACGCCACGCTCGCAAAGCACCACTTCGTGGTTACCTTGCGAGAGCACGTATTCGGCGCTCATCAACAGATCATCGATCGTGGCGCTCATCCCACGTTTGAGCAGGACCGGCTTCTTGGTTTGGCCCACCTCGGTCAGCAGAACGAAGTTCTGCATGTTTCGAGCGCCGATCTGGAGCATATCGGAGTATTCGACCACAAGTTCGACGCAGCGAGGGTCGGTCACCTCAGTCACCACAGGCATGCCGTGCTTGTCGCCGGCGTCGCGAAGAATCTTCAAACCATCTTCGCCCATGCCCTGGTACGCATACGGGCTTGTTCGCGGCTTGTAGGCTCCTCCGCGAAGGATATTCGCACCCGCAGCCTTGACCGCCCCGGCAATCGCGTCCATTCGCTCGGCACTTTCCACAGCACACGGGCCGGCGATCATCGCCAGGTTGCCACCGCCGATCTTCACCCCGGCGACATCGACCACCGAGGGCTCGGGCTGAGCTTCAAGGCTCGCCAACTTATAGGGCGGCAGGATGGGCACGACTTGGGCCACGCCGGGAATGGCTTGCAAGGTGGTCTCGGGTAGTTTCGTCTCGTCGCCAATCACACCAATGATGGTGCGAAACGTACCGCGGCTGACATTGGTCTGCAGGCCCTCGGCCTCGATGCGTTCAATCAGGTGGTCGATTTGCTGACTAGTTACGTCGGGTTTCAGAACAATAATCACGGGTCACAGGTCCTCGTCGAGACAACGCTTCAAGGCATTTGGGGAGACTACAGCCAAACCTTGAAGCTTAACAGGCCCCCGGCCTGCCGTCTGCGCTTTGGATCGTCCACGGACAAAGAAAGTCCAGACCAGCGGGACCTCAATGAGCGGTCCTTATCAGATGAGACTGGCAGACCGTGCGAAGAGAATTTGCGGACAGCTCACACTCTAGAAATAGGGCGGGGAACTGCCCCTGGTCTGAGTCCAGGCTCGACCACCCCGCCTACCCATATAGTCAACATTTGGGAAGCGAATCGGACGCGCCACGCAGACTTTTCCCCATTTCTTCACAAATAACCAATAACGGGGCAGGAATTAAGTCACTCTGGGGGGGAGGAAACTCGACCCGCTTGCCCCTCCGGGTGGAAGCCCAGCGGGGCGAAGCCGCTAACTGGCTGAACTACGCGAGAGACCTAGACGACCTCTGGCAGGGTGTAGGGCGAGCGATATTGCTTGGTAAGCAACGCCGTGGCCTCGGGATTGTCTTGAATAGTTCCCGACTCTGGGCTGAATTCAATCCGACCACCGGTGCGGTAGGCGATTTCACCCAGATGGATCGCCCCACAAGAGAGATGGGCAGTTTCTGGAGTGGCGTTGGTCGCCTCGCGGGTTCGCAAGCAGGCCAGGAAGTTTTCCATGTGCTCGACGTAGCCCCGGCCTGCATTCCCACGGATTTCGTCGGGCACACCCGGGCCTCTCTCCTCTTTGGGGCCCAAGTAAACCTGAAAGTAACCACGTCGAGAGAAGATCATATAGCCTTCGGTTCCATAGAAGGCATTCCCGCTGTCGAAACCGTGAAGGCCGTAGGGCGTGAAGAGACGGTCTTCGTAAAGCATGACTTTGTCGTCGGGGTACTGATAGGCGACCATCATGTTGTCTGGGTACTCTCGATCACCACGAAGCTTGACCGTGCTACCGTGGGCAGTGACCTGCGTGGGTAGCGTCTCTACCCCCAACCCCCACCGGGCCATGTCAATATCGTGGGCTCCATCGTCGCCGATGTCGCCATTGCCGTAGTCGCGATACACGCGCCAGTTGCTGTGGAAGCGGTTCACATTGAAGGGTCGCTCCGGAGCCGGGCCCAGCCAGCGATCGTAGTCCACTCCCGTCGGAGGATTGGAGTCGGGCACGACCTCGTTCGCTCCGCGGTCTTGCACGTTCCAGGCCTTGGCGATCTTCACCTCGCCTAGAATTCCGGAATCGAGCAACTTGCCGGCAGCTTCGGTGACTTTGCTCGATCGCATCTGAGTGCCGTGCTGCACGACACAGTTGTATTTCTTCGCTGCTTCGATCAGCAGCGGACCTTCTGCAAAGACGTGCGAAGCTGGCTTCTCTAGATAGACATCCTTTCCGGCAGCCAACGCGGCCAGGGCGATGGGGATGTGCCAGTGGTGCGGCGTGGCGATGATCACGGCATCGATTTCTTTGTTGTCAAGAACTTCCTGATAGTCGGCCGATTCTCTTGGTGAATGGGTTTGGAAGTCGCCAATGTGTTTTCTGACTTTGGCGATTTGCCCAGGATCGACATCGCAAAGCGCGTTGAACGCGACGGCGGATTGGCGCTGCACCAGCCCTCGGACGTGCATGTTCATGATTCCACCACAGCCGATAATGCCTAATGCAACCTTTCCATTCGGCGATGCGGCGGCCCTTCCCTTCGGGAGCACTGCGGCTGCGGTGGCCGCTGCGGCTGCGATTTGCCCGCTACGGGAAAGAAACTCACGACGTGTGGTGGTTGACGACTCGATCACAAGAAAGGTCTCCAGAATGCGGGAAGCCGACTTCTGTCGGGGCCATCTTATCTGCGAATTGTGGCCCTCGCCAATAAAACTCTGGCATCAGTCGAGATACGACTATCCCAGACGCAGGTGGCCAAACAAATCTTGCCGGACCTGGGGATCGCTGATTTTCCAGATGCATCCATCCACAAAGTAGTGATGGATATTCACGGCAGCAGCGATGGTAATTGCCAAATATTGCGAAGGATCGCGCTGGCCAACCAGCATTTCGGGCAACAGAAACACCGCCAGCCCCAGAAGCACCAGCGTGCAGTAGTACACGAGCATGTGACCCACTGGAGAGCGCGGCTGCTGCCCATCAAGCGAGTTTCGCGCGGCCATCCGGTTCATCTCGACGCGCATGGGGAAGATCAAGTACTGCAAAGCATGGGAAATCTGCAGCCAGAAAAACGCGGAGGGATAGAAATTCACCAGCGTGTACCACAAGTACATCGTGCCCCAAGGAAGCACGGCACGCACCGCTGGAGGCTTGCCCGAACGTTTGGAGATTCGCCAGAAGCCGTAAACCCCCAGCGGGATACTCCCCAGCGCCACCAGGCTGAGAATCTTATGTGTGGGCCACAACACGGCGTGCCAAGAGGCGGGAAGCTCCAATGGTTGCGTGGCCCACACCACATGCCACGCCAACAGCACTCGCAAACCGAAACGAATCAATCGTCGATCGACCACATCCATCTTCTGTTGATTGATATACGTGAACGAGGCCGTCATGCCCCAGGCCTGACCGGTGTAGTGCCAGGCCAGATAAAAAATGCTGACCAGGAACAACAGGCTATACATGTCCTTGTTCATATACGGCGAAGGTCCATTGCCTCCGCCAGCAGTAAGAAAGGCCACGAGCATGTAGGCCAGCAACAAGCCGGGCACATAAATGGAAGCCCACTTATGCTGTGTGATGTTTTCCTTCGAGTTATAGAGAAGCCGGTAAGAGGCCATGAAATGCGGCCAGTTGACCACCGCAGCCAGGAACAGCAACTCTTCTAGATTGAGTTGCCCCATGGTGGTGCGGGGCAAGAACTGCGCATAGAGCAGGAACCCGCCCATCAACAGTAGGGAAAAACCGCCGCAACATAGGGTATCGATGAGCGGGGTGATGATGGCCGGTCGTGGCGACGCAGCAGGTCTTGTGGTCAGCGTAGACATCGTCGCCCCACATCATACCACGCAGGTGCGCAGGGCGGCGCGACAATTAGGGTCTCGAATTTGGCCCTGCTCTTGGGAGTAATCTGCAGCGCCCGCGAGTCAGCTAGCCGACGGGTTCACTATCCGGATAGGAACCGAGGAATTCGAACCGGAGCGAGTTCTTTTCCAGGGTGTTGATTACACGGCTGACCTTGGCATCGTCGCCGTGACCATCGAACTCGATGAAGAACATGTACACCCCGCGAGGTTGCGAGGGGATGGGAAACGATTCGATCCAAGACATGTTCACTTTGTTGCGTTTGAATACCGCCATCGCTTCGGCTAAGGCCCCCGGGCGATGCTCAATCTCGAACATGACGGCCGATTTGTCTTTTCCGGTTCGATCGGCTCCCTTGTCGCTGATCACAGCGAACCGCGTCAGGTTGGCGGCGTTATCTTCGATGTTCTCAGCTAGCGGCGTCAGGCCGTATTCAATGCCGGCCTGCAGGCTGGCGATGGCCGCGGCGCCCGGCTTGTCTTTGGCAAGCTTGGCTGCGGTCGACGTGCTCGTGACTTCGATAGTGCGGGCCGCCGGAAGATGTTTGGCCAACCAATTACGGCACTGCGAAAGGGCCTGGGGCTTGCTGTAAACCTCCATCACCTCCGACCGTGGACAGCAGGCCAGCAGCGTGTGATGGATCTGCATCTGCACTTCGCCACTGATGCGAAGCGGCAACCGCGTGAACATGTCGAGCGTGTCGGCCACCCGACCGTCGGTCGAGTTTTCCAACGGAACCAGACCGTAGTCGGCGTGTCCGCGGTTCACTTCTTCGAACACCGAGCCGATGCTCGCCACCGGGATCAACTCGACACTGTGACCAAAGCGATGAATCGCTGCCAGGTGACTGTAGCTGAAGGCGGGACCAAGGTAGGCCACCTTCATGTGCGCTTCGAGCGAACGCGAGCCGCTGATGAGTTCTCGGAAAACCGCACGCACGCAACGATCGTCTAGTGGTCCCGTGTTCTTCCCGATGACCCGGGCCAGAACTTCCTCTTCCCGCGACGGCACATAAATCGGGCGATCGTCTGATTCTTTAATACGCCCCACTTCCAGAGCGAGCTTCGCCCGGTCGTTGATTAGCTTAACGACCTGGGAGTCGATCTCATCGATTGAGCGGCGCAGCGAGGCCAAGGTCGGAGTGCGTGACGGCTTTTTCTTCGACGTCGACGTCTTTCGCGCCTTAGCCATGTTGTCTGATCTCTAGCGTCATAAAAGGAGCAGGCGCCGATTTCGGGCCGAAAGACCCGCCCGTTTAGAACGCATCCTTGTACTGTCGAAGATGTAGGGTGTCAAGCTAGCGACTGCCATTCTGGCAGGTGGCGATTGCAACCACCATTCGGGCTGCCAATACGTGGCAGCCGCACAACTGGCCCGCTAGCGGAGTACTGCCTAGCATACTCATAAACTGCGACATATCAATAACTTGCAATTACCCCCTCCAGTTGAATTCGGCTGGCACACGACTTGCGTAAGTGTCGTTCGAAGCGTGCCAGACTCAGGTCAACCGGCCTGCTACTTGCATGGCTCTCTGGAAAGATGTTCAGGCCCTGCAGAGGGCTTTAAGTTACGACAATAAGACCGTCCGCGACCCGTAGGGTTTGGGCAACGTGGACTTTTGAAAAGATCATCGCACGGCTCAATGGGCCGTCGACATAGTTACCGAGACAAGGAGCTGATCGCATGGCTGAAGGCGAAAAAATTATCGGAATCGACCTGGGTACTACGAACTCGGTCGTTGCCGTGATGGAAGGTAAAGAGGGTAAGGTCATCCCAAATGCAGAAGGGAACCGACTGACCCCCAGCGTGGTCGCGTATACCGACAAGGGTGAATTCCTGGTTGGCGAACCTGCCCGACGACAGGCCGTTACCAACCCGACACGTACGGTTTACTCGATCAAGCGATTCATGGGTCGTCGTCATAGTGAAGTCGAGTCGGAAGAGAAGATGGTGCCGTACACCATTACCGGCGGCGACGACGATTACGTAAAGGTGAAGATCCAAGATCGCGAATACACCCCGCCGGAAATCTCGGCCAAGGTGCTGCAAAAACTGAAAGAATCGGCCGAGTCGTACTTGGGCCATAAAGTGAACAAGGCCGTGATCACGGTTCCTGCTTACTTTAACGATGCCCAGCGGCAAGCCACCAAAGATGCCGGCCAAATCGCCGGCCTGGAGGTGGCCCGTATCATCAACGAACCGACCGCAGCGGCTATCGCCTATGGTTTGGACAAGAAGACGAACGAAAAAATCGTCGTGTTCGACCTTGGTGGTGGTACGTTCGACGTGTCGGTGTTGGACCTGGCCGATGGTGTGTTCCAAGTGGTGAGCACGCACGGTGACACGCACTTGGGTGGTGACGATTTCGATGAAATCCTCATCAACTACGTCGCCGACGAGTTCAAGAAAGAGCAGGGGATCGACCTGCGACAAGACGTGATGGCTCTGCAACGTTTGCAGGAGGCCTGTGAAAAGGCGAAGCGCGAGCTTAGCTCAGCCAGTTCTTCGGACATTAACCTGCCGTTCATCACGGCCGATGCCAGTGGCCCGAAGCACTTGCAGATGAGCATCACCCGCTCGAAGTTCGAGCAACTTGTCGATGGATTGATCGAACGCTGTCGCGGTCCGCTCTTGCAGGCCCTGGAAGACGCCAAGCTGAAGCCGAGCGAGATTGACGAAGTCGTTCTCGTCGGTGGTTCGACGCGTATTCCGAAGGTGCAAGAACTGGTCAAGCAAATCTTCGGGAAGGACCCGCACAAGGGTGTGAACCCCGACGAAGTCGTGGCCGTGGGTGCCGCCATCCAGGGTGGTATTCTGACCCGCGACGTGCAAGACGTTCTGCTGCTCGACGTCACCCCACTGTCCTTGGGTATTGAGACCCTCGGTGGCGTGATGACCAAGCTGGTCGAGCGGAATACCACGATCCCGACCGAACGTAAGCAGGTCTTCAGCACGGCTGAAAACAATCAGACTGCTGTTACAGTCCGAGTATTCCAGGGCGAGCGCGAGATGGCGGAAGACAATCGCCTGCTCGGCCAGTTCAACCTGGAAGACATCCCGCCTGCACCGCGAGGTGTGCCGCGAATCGAAGTCAAATTCGACATCGATCAAAACGGCATTCTCAACGTGTCGGCCAAGGACCTTGGCACCAGCAAAGAGCAAACCGTTCGCATTGAACAATCGAGCGGTTTAGACGATGAAGCCATCGAAAAGATGCGCAAAGAGGCAGAAGAACACGCGGACGAAGATAAGAAGAAGCGTGAACTGGCCGAACTGCGAAATCGTAGTGACTCGATGAGCTTTGAAATCGAGAAGCTACTCAAGGAACACGATGAGAAACTCAGCGACGCCGACAAGTCGGCCGTCAGCTCGGCCATCGAACGATGCCGAGAGGCCGCCAAGGGCGACGATCCTGAGAAGATCAAAACGAGCCTTGAAGAGTTAGAGCAAGCCTCCCATGGGCTGACAAAGTCGCTGTACGAGAACACGGGGGCCGAAGCCGGCGCACCGGGTGCAGAAGCCGCATCTGGAGCCGACGGCTCGGCGGATACGGCGGACGACGATGCAATCGACGCCGAATTCGAAGTCAAGAAAGACTAACCTCGACCCGCTCACGTGGCCGCTGGCCGGGATCACCCCGGTCAGCGGTTCCCGTCCGGCGACGTCCTGTCGCCACGTGGCAGGTAAATACGAAAATTCCCCGCGCTCATTGAACTCAGCCGCGGATATTCCTGCGCTCCCGGTACGTACCTTCGGAGTGCTAATAGAGGAGATAAATGAATGGCGTTTCGCTTAGACAAACTCACTATAAAAGCACAAGAGGCCGTCGGCCGCGCCCAAGACATTGCGGCCGACCATGGCAACCCGCAGATCACTGCGCTGCACCTGCTAGCAGGCCTGCTCGCTGAGCGCGAAGGCATCGTGAAACCCATCTTCGATAAAATTGGGGCGAACATCCCGCAGCTCGATCAGATCGTGCAGTCGGAGATTTCCCGACTCCCCTCGGCTTCTGGTGGTGCGCCTCCGCAACTCTCGCAGGAACTATCCAGCGTGCTTGAAGCAGCGGCTCGCGAAGCCGACGCGATGAAGGACGAGTTCGTCTCGACGGAATTTCTACTACTCGCTTTGGCCAAGGTTGATTCTCCGGCCAAACGAATTCTGAAGCTCAACGCCATCGAAGAAAAACAACTCCTCGAAGCACTGCGCGCGGTTCGCGGCTCGGGACGAGTGTCTGACCAAAACCCGGAAGAAAAGTTTCAGGCATTGCAGAAATACGGTGTCGATCTCAACGCCCGAGCGAATCAAGGCAAGCTCGACCCGGTGATTGGTCGCGACCAAGAAATCCGTCGCGTAATCCAAGTATTGTCGCGTCGCACCAAGAATAACCCGGTGCTCATCGGCGACCCCGGCGTGGGTAAGACTGCCATTGCCGAAGGTCTGGCCTTGCGTATCGTCGAAGGCGAAGTACCCGAGAGCTTGAAGGGCCGCCGCGTGATCGCGCTCGACTTGGGCGCACTTGTGGCCGGCACCAAGTTTCGCGGCGAGTTCGAAGAGCGACTCAAAGCCGTGCTGCGCGAAATCGAAGAAGCCCAGGGTAACGTCATTCTCTTCATCGACGAGCTGCATACCGTGGTCGGGGCAGGGAAGGCCGAAGGGGGTGCAGACGCATCGAACTTGCTTAAACCCGCCCTCGCGCGGGGCGAGCTGCGTTGCGTCGGTGCAACCACGCTCGACGAATATCGTCAGTACATCGAAAAAGATGCGGCTCTGGAGCGTCGTTTCCAGCCGGTGTTCGTGGATGAGCCCTCGGTCGAAGACACGATTGCGATTCTCCGCGGACTGAAGCCGCGTTACGAGGCGCATCACCACGGGGTGAAGATCAAAGACTCGGCCCTGGTAGCCGCGGCGAATCTTTCGTACCGCTACATCGCCGATCGATTCCTCCCCGACAAAGCCATCGACC